AGTTTGAACCAAATTATGGTCATAATTTGCTGGAGAAAAAAAATAAATTAAATATTTAGTTTAAGGGTAAATATGTCCAATTAACATTTTAGGGGGAAAAACAGCCACTTCAATCATTTAGGGGGAAAAAATGCTATAGGTATATAACTCAGGGAGAAAAAGTGTCATTTTCCCTTTCTAAAATTAATATTCATAATTAGTCCTACACCCAAATAGGGAATAAATAGTAATTAATAAATTTACAGTGGCATATTAATTTCTTCTCCGACTTGTATTCTGGTTGATTTCATTTTTGACATAGATGTGTATTATTATGTATTTATATTGTTATTAGTATGATACCCGTGTGATGCACGGTCTATAAATTTATAGTAGTTAATGTTAATTTTTTTTTTTTTTTTACATTGTTAAAGTATATTATGTATATTGTAAATAATGGAACTGACAGTTACATACGTTCATACGGAAATAATTGTTATATAAATAAATATATTGCAATTCCGTTAAGAATTTTAAAATGATTTAGCAGAATTGAAGTTATGAAAATTGATGAAATTAATTATTATAATATTAAATTTGGTAAAATGGATCCAATCTGCAATGATAAGGTTATCTCATATTTGAAATGATTTTGTTTTTAAAAATGATATATATTTAGTTATCTCATATTTGGAATGATTTTCAATAAATATTTGATTTTATTTTATTTTACATCAAGATAAATTCAAATAATTTATAATTATGTTACCGATTTGATTCATATAAAATATTCAATATTAGTCATATTTGGAATGATTTTGAATAATATTTGATTTTATTTTACATCGTGATGTTCGTAGAAATTTATAATTGCACTATTGATAAATGAGTTAATTGTTACATAAATATTGAAATTCCGTTAAGAATTTTAAAATGATTTAGCATAATTGAAGTTATGAAATTTGATGAAATTAATTAATTATTATAATATTAAATTTGGTAAATTGGATCACATCCGCAATGATAAAGTTATCTCATATTTAAAATGATTTTGCTTTTAAAAATGATATAAATTTAGTTATCTCATATTTGGAATGATTTTCAATAAATATTTGATTTTATTTTATTTTACATCAAGATAAGTTTAAATAATTTATAATTATTTTTACCGATTTTGTTCATATAAAATATTCAATATTTGCACTATTGATGATGAAATGAGTTAATTGTTACATAAATACGGTAAATTGCAAAGTGTTTTTATTTTTGTTATTTTGTGTTATTAATTGTTAACAACTCTACTGATCAGTATCTTGTGCATGGAGATAGTTTTCATTTTTATTTTATCTTGTGTTTTCTTAATTTTCATAGGTTAATTGTGCAGGGATGGATGCACAATTATATACGCAAGGAAATTGTCCTCATTTCATGTATTCTTATAATCTGCAACCAGTGAATCACATTGTATGTGGGATAGGTATGTTGTATATTTTTGTTTATTATGTTCGATAGTGCTTACTTTGTTCTACATAGCTAATTGATTTATAACTTAAAATAAGATTGTTAATTGAACAAATTATCCATGTATAATAATTAATAAATCTTAGAGTAAAATATAATATATTGGAATAAAAAAATTTAATGCAACATTTAACAATAGAATAAATCATTGTGTATAAAACACAAATCTAAACCCAAACATTATTCAACATTATTCAAGAACATCAACAAAAAACCTCAAATACTTAACAAAACAAAACAAAACAAAAATACAACTTTAAAAAATTTCTCATAAAAAATCCATAAATAGTCCACCAATTCCCAATTAAACCCAAAACTTATGCAATTTCAAGGTTTCTCCAACTTCACAATGAATTTGGCCTTCTTCCCCACATTTGATGAAAATGAATCATCCAGTTTACGCTTAACGCTGTGGTTGGAAGATCCAGATTCAATTATTTCAATTTCAGCATCTTGTTGGGTTGTTCTTTTACTGGTGTGGTGACCTCACCCCCAGAAGATAATTCCTTAAAAAAACAAAAAAAAAAAAAAAAACAAAACAAAAAAAAAAACAAAACAAAAAGTGTACATAATTCTTGATTGACTAATATTTACGAAGTTAGAAGAATAAATATAAAAATAGTTTATTAAATTACAAAGAGAAATTACCTCAACAGTGTTAACTTGTCCAAGTTGTAATGTGGAAAATGCATCTGAATCCTATAGAATAAAAGTACATATATTATTTACTTTTTATTATTTAAAAGTAATAAACTATAAACTATTAAAATTTAAATAATTGAAATTTTTAGATATTTTCAACCTGGTTCTCTAGCAACATACTATCACGAACTTTTGAAATAAGTCTTGGTTCACGACAAACTTTCATCACGGACAAAGATTCTACATATTTAATATGTTTTATGGTTTTACTTGAATCTTAAACAGAACGTGTTGGTCAACTATAGCATCCATGTAACACCCCTAATTTTCACAACATTTAAAAACCAATTAAAGCTTAATAAAGAGATAAAGTCTACTCATCAAGATTAAAGTAAAGCGGAAGCTAAACGACAAGTACGGGAGATGTTATGTCACACCTACACATCTATAGGTGCACAGGCTAAGTCTAAACAAACGTCAAAGTCAAACTTATAAATATCCACGGCTCACAGGCCAAAAGTCTAACTAAAACAGACATAGGGAGCTACACTAACTAACGATCTGCTAGTGTGCTCTCCAACAAGCTACTCAAAACATGTAAAGCAATATAAAGATAGGGGATGACACCGGTCAGCGAACATTGCTGGTAACCCATCAATACGTGTTAAATAACATATATAGATAGTATAAGTCAAAACCATTTTCGAAACGGAATACAGTATATATCATTTCAAAAGCCATAGAGTGAAGTCAACTTCAAAGACTCATTCACACTCTCAAAGGAAAAGGGAAATCAACATCCATATGACAACAACAAGACAAGAGTACCAACTGTAAACAATACAACTCGAGATGTATTCTACTGATCACAAAGTAGAATACATCAAGACATGCTCATTAGCAAAGAATACACATTCACACATTGGCAACTACATGCCACAGTGACAACTACATGTCACAAGATTCACAGTTCCAACCTTATGGCTACCCACGGTCTTATTTCAGTTCCAACCATTACCTCTGAGTAATCCCTGTACTTCTGAGTCCAACCTTATGCCTCCGGGAACCGTCGTTCCCCCACCAACAACTGCCAACATATCAGTACATAAGGGTACAGTTCATATCACACAACCACCAACATATGAGCCTACGCTCAGGTCACACCACCAATTTCAATCATGGCCACACGAGACCGCATCATTATCAGGAAAACTAAGGCCTCATAAACCTTAGTTATGCTTCCATCAAATGGTACAACGATTACATACGTTCACATCATAGGAATCAATCAATGGATCACAACAAAGATATGAAACCATAATCAACAACGAAGGATCACAATCCGACACCAAACGATGATCAACACAAGTTTCCAATCTCAATAGGAAAGAACAAACTGCACACACTAGCATTTCAACATCAAACTAACATGCTTATCAAACGGGTAAACCAAAAGTAGTTCCATAGAACATTCAAGACTCCTCATTAGTCCAACGAATCACAAGGTTGGACCTTTAGCACGATTCAAGACACCAAATCCTACATGGATTCCTAACATACCGTTCTAGACATACGAAATATCAAGAAGACTCACAAATAGCCCAATAAAACAACATCGGGAGGTCAAAACATCAATACCGAGTCAAAAGAATCACGGGGAACAAATCTCCGACCATTAACAACAACGTTCCCCGTGGGTGGGGCCACGAGTGGACAACCACCTGTGGTTCCGCCCGCGTGTACCGATCTGTACACCAAATAATCCCTTCGGGGATTTTCAACAACAAGTCCAAATTCAAGTCCAAAACACCCAAAATCTCACACAATACAACAATATGGCTTGAACTCAAGAAATAGCCAAGCAATGGCATACAAAAACCCTAAGAACATGCTCTAAACATGCATTACCACAAGACAATGCATCAAATCTCACATTTCAACACAAGAATCACAAGTAGAAGCCAAGAAATCATCATATAAGTAAGAAAATAGGTTTTGTAAAGCATGGGTTACCTTTGTAGCCTAAAACTTCACTTTCTCACCCTTAGAAAGCTTCTCCTAAAGCTCTTCTCCAACACCAACTTCATAAGCATACCAAAAGACAACAAAGATTCTATTTTTAGAAAAAGACAACTAAAAGGATGTTAAAAACACCAAGAGATCAAGGATCTTACCCTCCCCTATGCTCAAGATTAGGAAAGTATGAATCTTGGAAGACAACTTGTAGGATTTAGGATGCCCAAATTTTGGCTTGGAGAGTAAGCTACCAAATTCTTAGAGAGAAGGTAGAGATTTTGTGTTTAGATTGTTGGTGGATGAAATGAAGAGATGATGCTAGGTTAGCTTGGAGCACAAACTTTAGGTAGAAAGACACTTTTGCCCTTACTAAAATTGGAAGAGTAAGGAGACAAGGGAACAACTCACTAGGCATAAGGTACAACCCTTTGACTTGGATTGACTAGTCATATTCTAGTCCTCCGACTATTAAATTTTCAGGATTTTTAGAAATAAATTAACAAGAAGACTAGGATTAATTCTCTAATTAATCCTTAACTAGATTTTGGATTTACGGGGTGTCACAATTAGGGGTGTAAACAAATCAAATAAAAAAAATTCGATTCGTGATTCGAATTCGAATATGTTGATTCGAATTCGAATATTTCGAATACGAATCCGAATCCGAATACTTTTTTCGATTCGAATATTTCTCGAATACGAATACGAATTAGAGTGTATTCGATTCGAATATATTCGAATAGTATTCGAATATTTTATGCTATATAAATATAAATTTTTATTACATTTTATCTTAATTTATTAAAGAATTTTTGTAAAAAATTAAGTTAGGCATTTCGAATTCGAATATTCGAGTCGAATCGAATATATTCGAATAAACTGGTCGAATCGAATACGAATAAAATTTGATATTCGAATATTAAACGAATACGAATACGAATATTCGAATATATAATCGAATTCGAATCGAATACTGAGATATTTGACTCGATTCGATTCGTTTACACCCCTAGTCACAATCCATTTCAGGTGGAAATGAGTTCATTTCGTCCTAAACAATAAAGAGTATTCAATTAGTACAAAACGAATCAAAAAAAATAGTGTATGTGTGTGTGTGTGTATATATATATATATATATATATATATATATATATATAAAAGACGCATAATATAATACAAAAATTATTTATAACCTCCACATAGGTTTTATTTTTTTTAATTCTGATGCAGATTTTCCAAACAACACAGTGCATTCACGATCCCATAATTGGAACGATGCATTCCCACGGCCATCATAAACCCTTGTGGTAACTTTATATTTAAAGGTACCATTGGGACAATATTACAAATACACTAAAATTTTAATGATCATATAGTCTTTCTTTTTCTTTCTTTTTTTTTTTTAAATGTAATAGTGCATCAAAAAAATATAGTAGATTTTAATAATTATTTTCAAAAAATGTGGTGATATGTTTATTTTTCTGTTTTATGGAAAAGTATAAAAAAATTAAAGAATTAATATATACCTAAGGACAGATTTCAATATGTCAATACATTTACATAATTCAGATATTATTATGCCAAAAGAATACCAAATGCAAATAACAATATATACCTCCACATCTTCAAGCATAGATTCTAAGGTTGCTCCACGGTTATTCTTGACTTCGTAGAGACGAATCAATCGTACTTTTATTGCCCACGCAACACTGTAGGCATTTATTTTATTCAATAAAACAAAAGTAGGAGCCATTATATTATATGTAGATTATTTTATATGGAGAATATGTATCTGAACCAGTGAGATTCAATGAAATATATGAAATTGGTAGTGGTAATATGTTTTTTGAAATGCTTGATTTATATAGTGGTAGTGGTAGCATAATTGAAGTTAGGAAATTTGATGAAATTAATTATTATAATATTATATTTGGTAAATGGACAATGATTTTTGTATAATTGATTTAGCATTTTTGTAATTATGTATTATGTATATAATAATGTATGTAAAGTATAAGTATATGTAAAATAAATTAATTATTATAATATTATATTTGGTAAATTAGCAATGATTTTTGTATAATTGATTTAGCATTTTTGTAATTATGTATTATGTATATAAAGTATATGTAAAATAAATTAGCAGAATTGAAAGAATTGAACAAATTTATATTTTTGAAATAACAAATACGGAGATATGAAATTAATTATTATAATATTATATATGGTAAATTGACAATGATTTTTGTATAATTGATTTAGCATTTTTATAATTATGTATATAAAGTATATATGTAAAATAAATTAGTAGAATTGAAAGAAATGAAATTGATAGTAGTGGTAGCATAATTGAAGTTAGGAAATTTGATGAAATTAATTATTATAATATTATATTTGGTAAATTGGCATTGATTTTTGTATAATTCATTTAGCATTTTTGTAATTATGTATAATGTATATAATGTATAAAAATTATACGTAAAATAAATTAATTATTATAAATTTTATAAATTTTTGGAGGGGAAATTTTGGCCATCATTTTGCTTTAATATATATAGAGATAGAGATAGAGATAGAGATATTGTTGATTATGATGATTTGATTTGTTTTCCATTATAAATTGTATAGGCGGGCTTGCTTTGGTCTAATTAATAAGGGGTAATTTTTTATCATTGTTTCAATTACTTACAGGTGAGCGGGTAAGGACTTTCTCCAATTGTTATATCGTGCATCAGGGTGCACAATGCATTAAGCGCCCTAAATATCTTATGTTTTGTATGTATATAATTGTAGGGTAGAATACGCATAAACTTCTAATATAATACACATAATTATAACATTATACATAATACACATGCATAAGCTCTTAACATAATACACATAAACTCTTAACATAATATACATAAATTCTTAACATAATACACATAAACTCTTAACATAATATACATAAACTCTTAACACAATACACATAAACTCTTAGGGCGCACAATGCATTGTGCACCCTGGTGCACGATATAATTTGCCGATTTTCTCAGTCTACCAAGTGACGAGCCTATGAGTCCACATTGACAGCTCTAGTTAGGACCCTACAATTAGAGGTGACCACGGTTCGGTTCAAACCGAAACCGTGCACTGTACAACTGAAATCGGAACCGAACCGTCTGTACAGTTCCGGTTAAGGTTTGTGTAATTAAGGAACCGAAACCGTCGGTTCCAGTTCCAAAAAAAAAAAAAAAAAAAAAAAGACTTACAGTTTAAATTTGAAAATCCAAAGCCACTGGCTTTTCAAAATTTTAGACCCCAGGCCACTGGCGTTGGCCATTGGCCAATTTTTATTTTTATTTTATAATATAAATCCGGTTCAAGAACCGGAACCAGAACATTAATATAAGGTTCTAGTTTTGGTTTAGCCATTTGTAGAACCGGAACCGCGGTCAACCCTACCTACCATCCAAGGCCTACGACTATTATGTCATTGAAGCATACTTTTACTACTTCCCGTGTAACACCCCCGATTTTACCAACTTTTTAAAACTTAAATTCAAAGGTAAACAGCTAATCATTAAGACAAACATTAAGGGGAAGCTATATTAAAATCGGGAAAGCGTTATGCCACACCCATAAAACATGGGTGCATAGGCTAAAACTATCAAAATCATTAAGCAGCATAAGTTTAGGCACACAGGCCACTAGTCTAGGCACACAGGCCACTAATCTAGGCACACAGGCCAACAAAAGTAAACGTCTAAACATGGGAGCTACTCTATCTAGAATCCACATCTAGCACGCTCGTCATCTACTCAAACCCTGTAAAACATGGGGATAACACCCGGTCAGCGAATAATGCTGGTAACCCATCAATACTCGTTAAATAACATAGTATAGATAGATATAATCAAAGTCATTTGAAACTGAGGAATACCATATATATCATTTTAAAACCAAGGAAGGAAGTCAACATCAAAGACCATTACACTCTCAATAAGAACGAGGATCATCAACCTCACAACAACAACAAGACCGCAAACGTAATAGACAACACAACTCAGGATGCATCCTACCATTCACAAGGTAGAATACATCAAGACATGCTCATAAGCATGGGAATCATACAATCACACAATGACACATTCATGTCACAAGAATCATGGTACCAAGTGTACCGCTTTCAACTTTCAACTTCCAACTTCCAACCTTATGCCCTGTTCCAACCTTATGGCTACCCCCGGCCTTATCATAGTTCCAACCGTTACCTCCTAGTGCCACCTGGTACTTCTGAGTCCAACCTCAATCATAGTCACACATAGTCATCATCATTATCAAGAAGACTAAGGCTCAACAATAGCCCCAATCAAGTATCAACAAAGGGTACAACGATTTGCATACGATCACCATAAGAATCAATCAAGAGATCACAATAAAGACATGAGACCATATTCAACAACAAAGGATTACTATCCAACATCAAATGATTGTCAACACAAGTTGCCGACCCCAATAAGAAGGAACGAACCACACATACAAGCATAACAACATCAAACTAGCATACTTATCAAATGGGTAAACCAAATTAGTTCCAAAGAACATTCAAGACTCACATCAGCCCAATGAATCACAAAGTTGGACCCTTAGCACGATTCAAGACACCAAATCCTACATGGACTCCTAGCACACCGTTCTAGACATACGAAACATCAATAAGACTCTCAAATCCAATAAATCAACAATGGGAGGTCAAAACATCACTACCGAGAAGAAAGAATCACGGGGAACAAATTCCCGCACAACGCCAACAATGCACCCCGCAGGTGGGGCCACGGGTGGGCCTCCACCCGTGGTTCCGCCAGCGGGTACACACCCGAGGCAACCACGTTCCCCGCGGTGGGGCGGCGGGTAGGCCACTGCCCGCCGTTCCGCCCACGGGGTACAACCAGTACACCAAAATCCCTTCGGGGATTTTCATCACCAAGGTCAAGTTCAAGTCCAAAACACCCAAAATCTCACACACAACAAAGATATGACTTGAACCCAAGAAATAGCCAAGCAATGGCATTCAAGAAACCTAAATACAAGCTCTAAACATGCATCATCACAAGATCATGCATCAAATCTCATAAATCACATCAAGAACAACAAGTAGAAGCCAAGAATCATCATTTAAGTAAGAAAATAGGTTTTGTATAGCATGGGTTACCTTTGTAGACCAACAACCACACTTTTCACCCTATTAAGCTTCTTCCTAGAGCTCTTCTTCCACACCATCTTCTTACACAAGCCAAAATACAAGAAAGGTTCTAACTTTAGATAAAGACACCCAAAAGATGACTAAAAACACCAAAAAGCTAAGAACCTTACCCTTTCCTATGCTCAAAAAGAAGAAAGTAGAAATCTTGGTAAAAGATCTTACAAGGCTAGGAAGTTCACCTTCTTGCTTGAAGAAGAAGCTAGGTTATTTTAGAGAGAGGCTAGAGTGTTTGAGTCTTAGGTTGAAAGGATGAATGAAATGAAATGTCTTGTTATGGTAGCTTGAACCACAATTCATATGTGAAAAGCCATTTTTACCCTTACTAAGGTTGGAAAGACAAGGGGACAAGGGCACAACTCAAGAAGCACAAGGTACACCCATTTGACTTAAGTAACTAGTCAAAATCTAGTCCCCCGACTATCAAATTTCAGGACTTTTAGAAATGGGTTAGCAAAGAAACTTGGATTAATTCTTCAATTAGTCCTCGATTAGCATTTAGATTTACGAGGTGTCACATCCCGACCTAGTTCCATGCTATTAAGGAATGTCCACCATTATCTTCATCTTGGGCCAACACCTTACCACCCTAGACCTATCATCATAGTCTCCATGGCTTACTTGCACTTCCCCACGCCCCACAAACCTCGTTCTTGGTCTAGTATCACCTTTGGGCTGGGCCTGTTTTATAAAATTTCGTACCATCAAGCAGATAAGTAGTGGTAGGTGATGGTAGTGTGTATGTAGGTGGGATGAATGAAACATATGTAGGTGATAGTAGGATAATCAATATTTTGTAGCAGATTTGGGTGGCAGACTTAGCTGTGAACGAGACCCTTATCTAGCGGAGGTGATGGCGGTCAAGGAAGCACTTACTTGGCTTAAGTGCCTTAGTTTTAATAATATTTTGCTCGAATAAATCTGAGTGTTTAAATTTCTGTATTGCTTTTAATTCTTTGACTCTAGACCTTTCATATGTTGGTGCAGTTGTTAAGCAATGTCGTAATATTGCTAGGGATATTGGGAACGTTAGTGTTTGCCATATCAGTAGGTCAGCGAATCATGTGGCTCATGTTCTTACAAAGACAATTGATTTTGAGTTTGTCCTAGGTTCATGGATGTCTTCTCCGCCTCCTTACAGATCACATCCCAACAGCACAGGACCCCCATTTTTAGGGGGGCCAATAGGTCAATATTTAATTTATACCTAAGAAATTAAAAAATAAAAATAAAAAATTTACAATTAAAACGCAAGCACTGCATCAGTTCTCTAAACGACTAAACATAATTAATTCATTAATTGAGGCATGCATTATGCTAACTGTTCAGCTTCCCCACCGCCCCACGTTTAGAAGAAATAAAAAAAAAAATTAGTTTTTCTTCTACACCTGAGTACCTGTTTTTTCGTGATTAAGTGACTTCGTCTAATTGTCTTCTAATCTTCTTAGCAATTGACAAAGGCGCAGAGCACTGAGACGTCTGAGAGTAATAGAACACTAAAATCAATAGAAATAGCATGATAGGAATCAAATATTTAGCATTTTAGAGGACGTCAGACACAGGAAGTGATTTGCGATACTTTTCGACGGTTTCGCAGCGGCCAGCGGACGACGAATTTCCGATTTCGCAGCGGCTGAGGGGCGAGGACTGAGGCGCTGAGAGGCAGACGGCAGTATCGCAGTTCACAGATTTCCCCAATTCCTCAATTCTCCCAAACGGCTCAATTCTGGTTTCCGACATTCCGTAGCATTATAGCGAAATCAAGGAAAGGAATAAGGGCTTTGAGGCTTTCCAATCGGGTTGTTTCAATCCTTTTTGTTTTTACTTAATTACTTTAAATCTTTAATTTTAAGTTTTTACTTTTACTGTTTTACAATGTACTGTACATGTGCAGTGTGTTATGTGTATAAATTGTTGTTTGGTAATTTTGATTTAATTGCATATTTGTATATTATCATTAGTCATTACTATGGCTCTCGGTATTAGAAAATATGAATCTAGATGTGAAAAACGTAAGAAACAATAAATGAAAAAATCATATATTTATGGTGGTTTTAAAGATTGATTTATACTTTTGGTAGGGCTCCATTTATGTACAAGAACAGGGCCACCAATATATATATATATATATATATATATATATATATATATATATATATATATATATATATATATAAACCGGTCCTGCCTCCTTATATTGTTGATTTGTTTTGTGCTTAATATATCGTTTATCCGTTGATTTTCAAAAATAATAATAATAAAAAAAAAAGTGATAATTGAAACTAAAATTGTACTAATGTAATTGGTTGCATTAATGGGTTATACATTGTGCTTTCTTTTTTATAGTTTTGAAAATACTTCCTAATTTACCATTTTCTTAGTTTTGCCTATATCATTTTCAATCTTTATGATTTGTTAATTTTTTTCTTTCTGAGTTGTGTTGAACATTTATTTACTTATTCATTTTTTTCAATTAAATAAAAAATTTTATGGTATTAGTGTATATATAATTTTTAAATCAAAAAAAAAAAATTAACTCAAATTTTGTGATGGTTAAAAACAAAATCTATATTTTACTCTTTTTTTTTTTTTGTTCTTTTTTTTTTTTTTTTGAGTTCTTATAAAATGAAATAATTTATGTACGTAACTATATATAATTATTTAATAATATAAATTAGAGTAAATCGCACTTTTGATCTCTCAGTTAGTACCCAATTTGCAATGTTATCCTTGCTTTTCAATTTGGACAGATTTGGTCCCTCAATTAGTCCGACGTTTGTCAATTTAGTCCTTCTGTTAGTCAGTCATCATAAACTCCGTTAAAACCATGGACAAAAATGGATTTTCACATAGCCTTGAATATCAATAGGGGAGAAGGTTGACGCTGCCGGTCCTGCTGCTACTCGTCACTGGAACCAGTACGCCGGAAACTGCAGATCGAGGTGAAGGTCTTCTCTACTTCGCCAGTCCGCTGCTGCAACGAAGGGGATCCAGCCACGACGCCGTCTGCCGCCGCGCCCACGCCGGATCTGCCCTGCTTACTGGGGAAAACAGGGGTCGCCAGTGAGACCCAGATGTCGTCGGAACTGTTGTTGGCGTTCGAGAGAGAGATACAGAGGTCGTTGGTTGGAGTAGTACGTCAAGGGTAGAGGAAAGCCACCACCAGGTAGATGTTGGTTAATGTCCCCATCTTCATGGTGATCCTCTGAGAGCAAATTTCTGAATTTTTCCGGTGGATGTTTCTGAATTATCTCCCCCATTGTCAACCTGTCTCGCTTCACTCTCTAGCCGGAATCCGCCTCCACCACGTCCACTGTCGCTGTCCCTAGTGTTCTCAACCCTTGCCTCGCCTTCAGTTTTGCCTGCTCCACCGTAGGTAATTCGTTCCTTTTCAGTTTCCACACGCACGACACCACCACCCCAGCCACCTCGGTCAACCCGTACCCATGGCTCAAGATAAACCCCATAGACTCTCAATGCGGAGGACAAATAGCATATCAATTGGGCTACTTACAGAGGGAATATTGTGGCGAGTCTTGACAGTGTAATGAGTGAGGGCCTGTGTAGAAATATCGCTCAAACCCCAAATCACGACAGAACTGATGACCTGTGTTTTACCGGATGCACCGCTAAGCAATTCTGGTACCATTTCCACGCTCTCAACAACATGGCACCCAATAATTTATCCCTTCTCAATATTTGTTTTCTCCTTTCCTAGATTTTGAAGATGATTTTCGCGTTGGACGGTTACAACTTTCACTGTCTCAGTTGGCTTCTGATCAGAATCTCTGTCTCAGTTGGGAACAGAAATTGGGCAAAAACTGTGATGGAGGAAATGGCTTGGAGCAGCTTATCTTCCAACGGGTTAGGGTTGTAGACAGTGCTGGAGGAAATGGCAGACAGGGAGGAGGAACGGGAAAAAGCTAAGCTATTATAATCAAGGCTAAGTGAAATTCCTATAATACCCATGGTGTAACTGGAGTTTAGGATGATTATCTAACAGAAGGACTAAAATGACAAACGGTGGACTAATTGAGGGACCAAATCTGTCCAAATTAGAAAGCACGGATAACATTGCAAATTGGGTACTTACTGAGGGACCAAAAGTGCAATTTACTCTATACATTATTGAATGTTGAATATGATTGATGACGCATTCAAATACCAAATGTTCAATATGAATATTTTATTCAATTGTACATGAAAATATGATAGTTTTTTATTTATTTTGTCCATGTAATTTTATAATTTTATAATTATTAAACATTTATTTTTTTAAGGAAATTAAACATTTATTTAATTGCACAACACGTTTCATTTCACTAGTATTCCGTATAAATAAATAAATAGAGTTCGGAGGTCATTGTGTTTGGTTGTAATTTCAAATTTAGTCCTAGACTATTATTTTTGTCATTTAATATTTTAGACTATTATATTTTAGATACTTTTGGTCCTTCGGTGACTTTTCCCATGAAAGTATTTTAGGAAAAGACACTTTGGTCTCTTCAATAATGATTTTTTAAAGAGAAAATTTAATTAATTAAATCATCAGAAATCATACTTGCAACAAAAGAGGGAGGAATGATATGTCATTCTGGGGCCAGACATAGAAACGGCTTCCCTTACAATAGAATGGGTAGCACGATTCGCGAACCTCTTAACATAATAGAAGCAAATGTGATTAAACACACTAGCAGCTTCTTTAATATTAGAAATAATGTAACCAAACGAGGAAAAGAAATTTGAGGAATTAATAGATTGATGGACTTGAAGAGCGTCCATTTCAATATCCACTTCATCGAAGCGTGCACTCTTTAACTAGCTTAAAGCCTCCCGTACACCAACTACCTCAGCTTAATCTACGGCTGAAGGAGAAGAGATGAATTGAAAAATTAAGAACAAAAATTGGACTAAAAAAGTGAAAAAAAAAAAAAAAAAAAAAAAAAAAAATTGAAGAGACCAAAATGTCCTTTCTTAAAATAGGCTTTCATCGGAAAAGTCACCAGAATAACAAAAAATATACAAAATATAATAGTAATGTTAAATGACAAAAATGATAATTTGAGAGTAAATTTGAAATGACCAGACAATGAAACTTCGTTGAAATTAACTCTAAATAAATATATAAAATGTTGGATAGAGGTAGGTTAGGAAATTCGCCTAACTTAGTTTGAATTGCAAAACTTATTATTATTATTAAAAGGACATAAACAGGACCACAATAAATTATTAGTTTTTTTTTTTTTTTTTGCGATTGAGAAATAAAAATAAAAATTAAAAAAAAAAAAACATTTTTCAAAGAGCAAATTCCACATCATTGTAACATTGCCATATTCAATCTCATTATTTTAATTCAGTTACATTACATTATTGATTTTTGTTTGCTTATCACAATTAATAATTCATTTAAATTTTTGTCATTTAACATTTAATGCATTCAAAAAAAAAAAAAAAACATTTAATAAAAAGTATAATAATCTCAACCAAGTTGATCAGACAATTGACTTGGTAAACACAAGTTCTAAGTTCGACTCCCTATGAACCTCTCTAAATAAAATAACATGTTAACCATGAATAAATGTTGCAGTGACAAAATAACCGAATACAAGGATGATTTGATCACACAACGTACAACATAACAATATAGTTTACATAGCCATTCAATCAGCATTTTATTTCCAAAGCTGAAGATACAATCACAGAACAGATTTGCAGGAAACACAAATGAAGAAGAAATCGATAATGCTGGCATGCATGGCGTGAATCGCCTACGAGCTAGAAGACGGTGAAGGTGGTTGTAGCCCACGGAGGAGGAGCTGTCGTGTAACAATTGAGCTGCGAAATGTATGTGGAAGCGCGGCCTCTGGATGAGCGTTTATCCATTGACTTGATCGCTGGTTGGTTCAAGTACGCGTACCTGCTCTTTGTCCACCTGCAACAACTCAAGTGCGGGTGCTCATGATGGGGCGTTACCCAAACCAAAAATAAAAAAATAAAAAAAATAAAGGTTCAGATATTCTTGCAACTTACCAGTCCTTGATCCCCACTCTGATCTCCTTCTCGGTTTTATCTGGCTTGATGATGATCTTAACATTCTCGTCACTGCCACCCTCCTGCAACGACTCTTCAAACGCCTTGTACTCATCCGCCTTGATTATTCCGACAGACAACACAAGTCGTTTGTCAAAAGTTATAAGTAATCATTGATACTTACAACAAGCATATTATACAAGACAAGAAATGAAAGCGTCTTCTTAGGGGAAAAAAAAAAAGGTTCTTTTTTTTAATCTTTTTCTTTGGACGTTTCGTGGAGGGGAGGAGCCAATCTTTTGGCATATACTTCATAATTCTGTCAATTCAAAAGTTTATTTACATTATCCTTCCTTCACATCACTTACAACAAATAATATAAAACAGTAAATAAGAGACAGAATGGGAATCTAATGATCTAAGAAAGAATCCTACTGTATAGGATGTCAACTATGTTTCTTTGATAATCTTCAATTCCCTCCCAATCCTGAAGTAGTGATTTTCAGTTCTGAGATTACCAACAAGCATAATAGAAATATACCCACCACATCCAAGATTGAATCAAACCGATATATGACCTTACCGAGAGATTCTGTGCTCTGATTCGAGCTGCAGCCTTGATAGCTGCAAGGAAGTGACTTTCTTCGGCCATGCGCTTCTGCCTCCAAAACTTTGCAATCTCTTGGTTTGTCACGCTCGATGGAGTCTTTGGCTTAACCGCTGCTTTCGTTGTAATCAGAAACCTGGGCAATGGCGGTGGAACTGGCGGGCTCGTGTTCTTTAACTTTTTTCCATCAACCTTGCCTTCTGCTGCCATTCGCTTCATTTTATAAGAAGCTTCTGAATATGCAACTGCAAGAACAGAACAAATTTCCAGCTTTTTCACTTAGGGTGTGTTTGGAAACCCGGAAAATGACTTCTGGAAGTCATTTTCCGGGGTTTTGGTGTTTGGTTACATTGGAAAATGACTGGTCAAAGGAAAATGGGGTGGAAGTCAATGGAAAAGGAAGGCAATTTTATGGAAAATGACTTCCCCTTTTTTTGGGGGGAAGTCATTTTCCAACTTTTACACCAACATCATCAACACCATACCACCACCACCATCACACCACCGCCGCCGCCACCACTACCACCATACCACCGCAACCACCGTCGCCACCACTACCGTCGCCGCCACTACCACCATACCACCGTCGCCGCCACTACCACCATACCACCGCAACCACCGTCGCCGCCATCACCACCATACCACCGCCCCCACCACCACCATACCATCGCACCCACCGCCGCCGCCACCACCACCATACCACCGCAACCACCGTCGCCGCCACCACTACCGTCATACCACCGCCGCCGCCACCACCACCATACCACCGCCGCCACCACCACACCACCGCCACCGCCACCGCCACCACCGCCACCACCACTACCATACCACCGCAACCACTGCCGCCGCCACCACCACCATACCACCGCAACCACCGTCGCCGCCACCACTACCGTCATACCACCGCCGCCGCCACCACCACCATACCGCCGCCACCACCACCATACCGCCGCCACTACCACACCACCGCCGCCACCGCCACCACCACCATACCACCGCCACCACAACCACGCCACCGCCGCCACCGCCACCACCACCACCATACCACCGCAACCACCACCACCACTACCACCACCATACCACCGCAACCACCGTCGCCGCCACCACTACCACCATACCACCGTCGCCGCCGCCACCACCATACCACCGTCGCCGCCACCACCACCACCACCACACCATCGTCATACTACCACCACCATCACACCACCACCAATTATTATTATTATTATTATTATTATTATTATTATATAACGAATAACACCACTACCACTACACCACCACCACCACCATAATATTTTTGATATATTATTAGTTTTTTTTTTTGTTGTTGAAAAACTTAGCTATTTTTTATTATATTTAAAATTAATATTATATTATTATATATTATTATACATGTTGTAATATTCTAAATAAAATAATTAAAATGTTTAATTATACAATTCTACTCATTTTCCAGAAAATGAACCAAACACACAAAAACAGTTTTCCAGAATGCAACCAAACACCGGAAAGGAAAATGTTTTCCGGAAAATGACTCATTTTCCAGAAAACATTTTTCAGAAGTCATTTTCCTGGTTTCCAAACGGACCCTTAATGATTATTATGCATAAGCACTTGAACAGTAAAAATCAAAGCATAGAGATAAGCATCCCAATCAGAGTCATGGAGCTAGGGGTCCAACCAAGCTTTTGAGGACCACAAGACTTCCATTGAACTCTCCTGAAGGATAAAGAACTATTCCTGTTTCACGAGGATAAGACAATTCACTGCAACTTTATAGACAAAATAGTTAATTGACTATTAGGCTTACCAGCAAAAATGGATAGCAGCACCAGACTTTCAATAAAGATTTTAGAAAGTGAAGAAAACAGTGGGATATTGCACAAAAGAAGAAGCCGAGGGGAATTCTGATTGGAAGATGGACTGAGAATCAATTTTTTGGCAATGATCAAGATCCGGTGGGGAATAGGGAATCCATAAGAAACTTGTATTGCAGACACTACTTATAAATAATAATATTTGAGTTGCATGACTTGGCTATGATGAATAAATTGCTATAGATAAATGCAAATTTGAGTTTATTAAGAAATGTGTATTATTTGATGTGAGACATTTGAACTACCAGCTCAATTAAATAATCAAAGGCTCACAGCAACCATAAATTTGTCTTTTTTGCACTGGCATTGGTCTCCCGGCATAGTAATGCAGCTTAATTAACAAAAGCTATCATCATTCTTGCCTCACAAGCTGATATGCAGCCGCCGCCATCACAATCACAACCATAAGTCCCTCGTTTCTAATCTTATCAGTCCAAGGAGCTGTTATAGCTCCTTTTCTTGTAAAATGAACAATGACAGATAGGGCTGCTATTAGACAAAAGAAAGAGACAAATGTGAGAGATGAGTGGAGAAGTCATCTGTTATAACACAACTGATACGTATTTTTCTCAACGGTCAATTAGGACAGTCATCCTTTTTAAGCATTTAACCCCCTCGAAATCGGAGCTACTCAAGCCTAGATCATTTGGAAAGTGACTTGTATGAGCCAAACTCCTTATTGTCCATCTACACAAAGAAGAACAAGTCAAGAAAAGAATACATATGAAACTCCTACAGATCAAGACCATTATGTTGCTATACTACGACTCGAGATTCAAAAGATTGACAAAATCTAACCAATGCCACCAAATTTCTTTCATTTTTCTTATCCCATTAGGCTTACACCATTGTAGTTGGGGTACCCTAATAAGTACATCATTTTTTTAAATTTTTTTTTGAAAGCAAGTACATCATTTGTGAAACCACTGGGATACAATGACAAGCAAAAATTTTCCTAGTAGCCACAAAAGAAAATTTTTTTTCTTTCTTTCTTTTTCTTCACCTATGATGTATGATCATACTCTGTGGTTCAATAATCCAGCATAGAATTAAGAAAAATTGCCAAATATCTTGTAGTATGATAGATGAAGGTTTCAGGTTGAACAATAATCAAGAAAAAAAGTTGTTTAAGAACTCAATCTTCCTTAAATGAATCAAATATATGGTTTCTTTATAAGGATGACAGCATGATACAAATTGAAGAAAAAACAAAACACTTTACAAGCTACAGATAAATAAAAGAAAAAGTTCAGCTGCTACACAAGAATTTTTACAACCTTAATATTCGAAAACAGAGACCACAAAATAATAATTGCAGAATACTCCACAAACAAGAAAAGTTTGAATCTTTAAAAGTTTCAAGTCTCAGAAGTGATTCTCAGAGCCTTGTTCTTGAACCTATACCTCGGAGCCCTGGGAATAACCTGGCTAGGCCCGAAGTGAAACTGGCCCGGACTGTCAGTCATGGGCGGGCCGTCGTCGTAGACATATCCGACGAGCTTATCGCAGTTGACGCACTTGATCTTGGTCCGCTTCCTCTGGATCCCCCAGTAGTTGACGGTCTCGAAGAAGGGTATGATCTTATCCTCCTTTTCGAACCGGAATTTGGAGGAATCGACGGCGGAGAATGAGAGGGTGCCTTTGTTGCCGGCCTCGAAGTAGAAGTCCGGAGGGTAGAGGTGAATGGTGTGGAGGTTTAAGTTGGTTTCGCACTCTTTGCAGGTGTAGATGGATGCCATGATGCTTGCGGAGGGAGCGGCGGTGTTAGGGTTTTATGCAGCGGAGATCGGAGACGATTTCTCCCGGCGTGTTTTCCAGAGGCGTTGAAAATTCGTCGGAATCCAGAAGGGCGGCAACACAAAGGTTTTTTATTTTATTTTACAAATTCAGTTTCTAACTTAGTCAACTAATCCTAATCTCTTCGAGTTATTACTATTTCCACATTTGGTCCCTAATTATTACAATTTTTAGATTTGATCTCTCAATTTTTAAATCTTTGTCACATTTAATTCTTGACTATCAAAATTTTCAGATTTGATCCCAAGACTTTTAAATCATTCCCACATTCGGTCTCACATTTGATCTCCGGCTATTAAAATTTTCACTTTTAGTCTCACAATTTTTAAATCTTTGTCACATTTAATTCTTGACTATTAAAATTTTTAAATTTATTCGGGTGATTCTCTAATCCCAAAATTAACAACTAATCTCCCTTCTAATTAAATAATTGTACTTTTTGTAAAAAACATTTTGTGTTTGTAAATTTAAATTTGTAATATAATTTTAATTTATTTAAAAGTTAATTTCACCAGAGGTCCCTTGTTTTTTGTGTCAATTCTAAATTTAGTCCCAGACTATCGTTTTTGTTATTTAACATCCCTAGACTATTAATTTTTTTTGACACTTTTAGTCCTTCTTATTACTTTTCCTATTTTTAGTAAGAACATCTTTGTCTTTTCATATTTTTATTTTATTATTTTTTTGGTTTCAACCGGTTTAATTGGTTTATAACCAATGTTGCAAAAAACGTTAGGCGCCGCCGAATTTTTTTTTTTTTTTTAATTTTTTTAATTACAAATTTTCAAAATTTAGTACTAAAACATAAGGTTTTCATAGTTATTTCATAGAAACTATTTACAAAAGTGGTTGTAAAATTGTTCAAAAGATTGTTTAGACCATCGAAAAAATACGCGATTTGAAAAAAAAATTGTCCGAATCGGACAACCGAGTCAAAAGTTATGCCTTCCGAAACTTTTCCGACATTAAAAAAAAAAAAAAAAAAAAAAAAAAAATCGCCGACCGGCCGGCTAGGCGGCCGGCCGCGGAGATGGCCGATTTTGGCCTTCTTCGCGGCGGCGCAATGGCGCCTAGGCGCGATTTTTGCAACATTGTTTATAACTTTAGGTAACCTCTGATTTTTAGTAATAATATTTTTCAACCGATTTTTAGTAAAGTCCTAAACCAATTAAACCGGTTGAAACTAAGAAAATAATCAAAGAAAAATATGAAGATACAAAAATGCCCTTACTAAAAATAGAAAAAGTCATGAGAAGGACTAAAAGTGTCTAAAAAACAATAGTTTAGGGATGTTAAATGGCAAAAATGATAGTCTAAGACTAAATTTGGAATTGCCACCAAAGACAAAGGAATCTCTAGTGGAATTAACTCTTTATTTAACTTAGACTTTGGCATTATTAAAGTTTGTATATAGTATTCGTATTCTGTAATCATAATGGCCCTGTTTGGTAAAATGTTAGCCTATCATTCAATTTTGACTTATTTGATCATTATTAATGATTTGACTTGGTTAAAAAAATCAGTATAATTGTTTCAAGTTATCTATTCAGATCCAGGGCTCAATACATCGTATGTGCCGTTTGGGAAACAAAATGGTTTTGCCCTACTCAATTAATTAGGTCGTAATCATTAGGAGAGAGAAGTGATTTGGAATAAAACTGATGAGTTTTAGATTAATTGTAGATTTTTTTTATTTCTTAAATAGTTAGGTCAAAAATGAATATTGGACCCTCTAAAAATTGAGGCATTGTGTTGTTGCCTATCTTGCACATCTTAAAATCCAGCAATGGCGGCAGCTTTTGCTGCCATTAGCAAATTTGCTAGCGATATGGATTTCAAACAAAATAAACAATGTTTTTTTATTTTATTTCCACATCATCTTGTCAATGCCATACTTGTCCAGCATAATAAATGTTGTCATGCCTGAATTGCTGGGCATTGGGCAACCCATCAGCCATCTCGCCATGTAGATACTATCAATCCTTCTCCTATAAGGTTGAATCCCCAATCCTAAGGACCCTCCACAGATTGACCGCTCGAACAAAACATTTAGGAGAATGTAAATCACGATAATTCATTGGCTCATCAGACATTGCCAAATGGTTGTGCGCATGATACGATAAATACGGACGTATAGATACCATTATGGTTACTAGTATTTGAACTCGAGATCGCCGGGCAGTGGGCGGGGGTGCTCTGATCAAATACTATGAAGGTCAGATTGCCAAATAAGGCCCCCGCCAACAATAAATGCACTTATTTATAGGCGGGGGAGGGGACAAACCCCGGTCCCACGTCATATTAGGCACGTGGTATACATGCAGGGGTCGAGAACGGGGTCCAACAGATTGCCAACACGTGGTGCCATGTCCGTGGCACAGCCGCAGTGTCACCGGAAATGCACGGTCGACCCTGTCCTAGACAGTCGGGGTGACAAATCCGACCGGAAAGTAAAGGCCCCACACAACGGGGACGGATGCAGAATATGGTCGGAATCGATCGGGTTAGAAGCGGCATGATGTGATGGGTCGCTACCGACCTTTAAGCCGACCGTATGGCACTTGGTTCGAAGAAATATCCCCACCAGCGCACAAGGGATAATTTTGGATATAATCCAACCTGCCGACTGAAATTCGAACATTAGTCTCTTCTTTTAAATATTGTCTATTCAACCATTAAGCTAACTCGGTGGGACATATAGTATCAATCCTCTTCTCCACCTTCGATGTGTTTATGTCACCCCAAAACGTGCTGAACATCCCAAGCACGAAGCTTCTCTTCAAACTCATTAGAGTTTTTTGCACTTTTAGTCCCACGACTATAGTGACACCGGCAGAATTGATCCACGACTTTTGAACCTTGCAATTTTAGTCCACGACTATTGATTTTTTTGCAAAAATGGTCCTTCCGGCCACTTTTCCGTCAAAATTTCACCAGAAAAAAAATATTCTTCATTTTTAGCCGGGTTAAAATTGACATTTTACTTATCTCAACAAATTAAAAGAAAAAAATTGATATTTGACTACATACAATATTACTGGGCTACATACTACTGTCCCAGACGGCAGAGTTCCTGGAGCAGGCAGGGCTGTCAGTAAGCGGCGGAGCGGCCGTGGCGTTCCCCGAGCTAGTTGGGTTATCCGGCAACAGCTTTGGACTGGTACATGTACTCCGCCGCCGCATTTAACCCAGCTAAAAATAGAGAATTTTTTTTTCCGGTGAAATTTTGACGGAAAAGTGACCGGAAGGACCATTTTTGCAAAAAGATCAATAGTCGTGGACTAAAATTACAAGATTCAAAAGTCGTGGATCAATTCTGCCAGTGCCACTATAGCCGTGGGACTAAAAGTGCAAAAAACTCAAACTCATTATTCTAATCACTTCTAATATCCCTTTCTTGTGTTCTCCCTTTTCATGACGCACTCTAGCTTTTACAGCGAAGATCAATCTTAAATTAGAACATATCCCTTTCTTCCCCAATCTTATTTCAAGAATTTAGCTTTTACAGCTAATAACGGACTGTTACACAACTCGAATATCCCTCAGCTCAAAGATCAACTGTTCGGTTTTGTTTCTTTTTTATGGTATAAATGTTGCTGTTACGGTTTGAATGTAAGCATAGCATTCTTGAAGAAACAATCGAAAATGACTGATTATTCTACGGACTTTATGTACTTGCATGGAGATTTGCAGCTCCACATTATTCAGGCGAGTAATTTGCCGAACATGGACTTGACCTCATTCCGTCTCCGCCGCTGGTTCGCCTGTGACGTCTGCCGGAAGAATGAATCCGCCGGCGGCGGCGGAGACGGCGCGGTGAGTAACCGGAACAAGAAAATTCACCACCGCGGAGTCATCATCGGAGACGCTTACGTCACTGTTTTGGCGCTTCAGACCACGATTGCCCGCACCCGGGTCATTCCCAACTCGGCGAACCCGATGTGGGACGAGCATTTCCACATCCCGCTGGCTCACCGCGTGGAGTATTTGGAGTTTCGGGTTAAGGATACTGACGTGTTCGGAGCTCAGATTATTGGCAGTGTGAAAATCCCGGCGAGTGACATAGCCGCCGGTGAAACAATTTCCAAATGGTTTGGTGTGATTGGCCCTTCCGGGAAGCCTCCCAAACCCGGAGCAGCTCTTCGCCTTGAAATGAAGTTCATTCCTTTTGAATCCAATCTCCTATACAAGCATGGCATTGCAGGTAGGATGGCATTTCAGATTAATTATTGGGTTGTTGGGCTTATTAATTTTTTTTAAGAAGAAAAAAAAAAACAATTTTAGTACCTTAATCGTACTTTTGGTTCACAGAATGAATTTTGAGGTAATAGGAATGCTATTCTATAAAGAATGGAATAGGCAAGGAACATAATATGAATTCTATCCTATTGTTTGGTTCGCAGAAGGAATAGACTTAAGGAATTATATTACAATGATTGGTTAGTTTAAGGAATAGAATGAAATATGTTTCAAA